GTAAAAATCTCGATCTCGATACTCGATACCATGTGCCGCAGCGAGCACGTTTCTTCTTGAAAACCGTTTACGTCTTCGAACGAACGAACCGTCGATCATTCGGAAGTTGTAAAAAAAAAAAAAAGACTGTCAATTCTTTGGCCTGCAGTCGATCAAAGTTCAAACCCAGAGAGACAGAGAGAGAAAGAGAGAGAGAGAGAGAGAGAGAGGGTGAAGGGGAGGAGAGTAAGGAAGAACGCGGTGCACCGTGTGGAGAAATTTTTGGAGGACGCGAGGTGGTAGCGAGCGGTATCAGACAGGGTCATCCATGGTGGGGGTTGCTGTTTGGGTGGGCGTTGCTGGGTCGATACAGGGTGGCTTGGTCGTCGTTCGCGAAGAAAGCGCTACCAGGGCCAGCAACCAGTACTCTTTTCCTCTCTTGTTTCTCATTTCCCTTCACCGAAATTCGTGGCCCCTTGCCGGACCTCCTCGTGAAATCACGCGTAATTGCCGATCACGTCAGGCAACCTCTTTACGAATTAACTTCAAAGCGAATTAAATCGTCCGTTGCCAGCCCACGTGCTCTCGTTTCGTGCAACGAGAGAGAGAGAGAGAGAGAGAGACAGCTTTATTCAGAGAACGAATTACCGTTCCATCGATAGATCGATGATCTTTCACGACGTTTGAACGTCGCTGTACGAACGTTGACTCGCTGAAACGAGCTTGAAAACAATTCATGGAAACCGTATCGATATTCTCGAAACTTTTTTTTTTTCTTTTTGATTCTCTACATTTTAATTCTTATGCAAGAACGATTGATGATGGGGAGACGTAACTACGAACATTATTTCTTGTTTTTTTTTTTTTTTTTTTTTTTTTTTTTTACAGTGACATCTTTCCTTTCATCGAGGATATCTCGTTGAAAACTTGTTGAAAAAAGAAAGATCCCGTGGAACGTGGTTACCGCGGCGAGTCGACGTCGTTTGTACACCGTTTCAAGAACTCTCGGTCGGCGCTTGAGACAAGCGCGCGCGCGCGCTGTGCAACGCAAGCTTAAATGCAACGACACCGGAAACGTGGTTCTCTACGGAGCGCACAGCCACGTGGCAACTAAACCTGAACCTGAGAAAAATTTACGTGTTCCTTCTCTCCATAATGAATACGTTTCTCACGCTGTAAATTCTCTCTGTGAATTCAATCGCCACGCAAATTCCTTTAACAGCCGAAACTTTTGCATCTGAAACCGTGTTTACACGCTTCCCACGCAGTCTGATAAATGACGAAGTTCTGAAACACTTTGATACTTGGATCTTTCTAGAAAACTAAAAAATTATTTCTTATTATTATTTATATTATAAATTATTATATTATTATTATTGTATTATATTATTATATTAATATTATTATTTTATAAAAATATTATTTTAAAATTATTATTTTAATTTAATCTTATTATTATTATTATTATTATTATATTATATTATTATATTAATATTATTATTTTATAAAAATATTATTTTAAAAGTATTATTTTAATTTTATTTTATTATTATTATTATTATTATTATTATTTTATTTTATTTATTATTATTATTATTATTTTATAAAAATATTATTTTAAAATTATTATTTTATAAAAAACTAAATTATTCTAGACAAAAGGAATACATTTTGATCATGATTATGAATCGTTATACCAAACCGATCAAGAAGTGACTGCAAATTGCTTCTTTTCTTTTTTTTTTTTAGCGTGCAAATGAAAGGCAATATACATTTTCGTTTATTTCGTTCGACTAGCTTTTGCCATACTTTTTTTTTTTTTTTTCAAGCAACTTCATGATTTCGAGTTCAAGAAAGTTCTCGACAAAAGCAGTCCCAAGTTCAGAGGCTTCTTCACCGTGTCAGATCATTTTTCACCAGTTGGTCCTGTTCTCTTCTCTTCTTCCTCTCGGAAGCAGTGCAGCAAAGCGTGACGAGAATTTTCAACAATCAACTATCGGATCGCGCAATTTAAAATGATGTTGAAACGAAGTCAGTTACATTTCAATGTATACGATAATACATCTGAATTATTCCCACGTGGAAAATCGAATCTTTTCATTACACGTGTAAAGGACAAGTCGCACGTTTGACGTTGCTTAAAAAGAATCCATTAGCAAACTGTCAACTGTTGGCTCGGGAGACAAGAAATCGGCCGAACGAATTTTCACTCGCAATCGGAGATTTAACAATCGACTCGAGTTAGTTAAGATAAAAGAAACATTTTTTGTTCTCCAAAAACACGTTGCTTTCACATCTAACAAAAGTATTCAAACGGCGATGAGAAAAAAACGTAGAGTGTTTTGTCGGACGTAATCACTTGTCGTTGGAAGACGCGCGACCTAACTTATCGACAGCGATGCGTAAATAGATCGAAGGTAAACTATGCAAAACTGGAGTGATTCCGACAAGTCGAATCGATGGAACGCAAGGGGGAGCAGACGATCGAAACTAGGGAGTGATAGCTATTATTATTGACAGGATGTACGAAGAATGCGTCTGCCTCTTCGTGTGTCTTGTGACGCTTCGTCGTCGATCGAGAAATCTTTTTTTTTCTTTCTTTCTTTCTTTCTTTCTTTCTTTTCGTCGTACACACGAGGCGAAAGAAAAGGCAGATCAACGCTCTTCAATCTGCATAGTTGGTTTTCACGTTCACGCGCACTAGCGAGCGAGCCCTGTTCTTTTATTCATCGTGAAACCGATTCCAGATGCTCGTCTATCGATCCGAATCAAACTACGGTCCAACGACTCGCGAATCGTCGGAAAGAAACAGCTTCGATCAAATCAGAAACACACGCGCGTCGATCGTGCATCTCTGCGTATATTCTTTTGGGGGTTCTTTTGGGGGCCTTTTGGGGGTTCTTTTGGGGGCCTCGAAAGATGTAAAAACTTAAATTTATTTGATAACGATGTTAGTGAAAAAAAAAAAAGAAATAGACAATCGGACAGGGCAAAGAACACAGATTAACAATAACATACAGGCCATCTGTTATAATTAAATGCAACTAAAAATATAATAACCGTAACAACCATAATTGATGTGTACTTGTATTAAATATGACGGATTCTTGCTTGCGTCAAAAGAAAACTACAACCGTCATCTTTTAATTGTGTCCAACTGTTTCTTCCTTTCTTCTTTTTATAATTTAACCTGCGTCCTTGGGGTTGACCCTTTCACCTCCATATATACAATGTGAGATCATTCGTTTCGCTTGCACGAAGGGTGAATTGAGCGTGACACTGCTGTGTTCGCAGAAAGAAATTTCGAAAAACCTGCTACGCTACATTGTCTGACCAACTTTTATCGAGCCTTGGAGTCTTATCCTTTCCAAGGAGTTGTATAGAGTGAGGGGGGGG